AGCGCTGGGTGAGTAAGCCAGTCTCTTCCTTAGAAGACCCGGACCCTCTCCAGAGCACTCCATTTGCCTCATTGCTTGCACGTTATTTCACTTGTTTGGATTTTCTTTGAAACGTAGGTTAAAATAAATTTGATTTTTAGAACGTCATTTTGTATCTTTAGAGTCAAAGCTTTTCTCCTGAGATAATTAAAAAACCGCTGGGCTCTTCCCCAACCAAAGATGGAGCTCGAGGCCAAGTCCCAGAGCCTGCAAGGAGGCAGGGGCATTTGGAGAGACGTGTTTGGGTGAACAGACCAGTCTGGGAGGAGCCGATACAGAGAAGATGGATTTCATCTCCGATGCCCTTGGTGACAACTCAGTTTTTCAGCATCATCTTCCAGCTGGAGATGACACCCAGAGAATCACACACACACAGTTCACTGACATTGGGATTTGGGAAACACACACTCTCACAGCACCCAGAGGAATAATGCAACCAGCTGCTGGGACCGTGCCTGGTGACTGGACGGCGGACCAGAAATTCCAAAGGGGGGCAGTCCAGAGGACAGTCAACGGGATAGCATGAGGCCCACCGCACTGGAGCCTTGTCTAGAATGGCTGGTTGGAGAGGCCGACACACCACTTTCGCTGGTGGGCATTAAGCATTCCAGTGAAACCCCCAGCTTGATGTTCAGCTGTACTGATTGCTGATATACTGATTGCATTATTCATTGCTCATGAAAAGATTTTTAAGACTCTCAAGGATTTATAGAGATTATAGTAAAAAAATAAAATAAAATAAAAACTCCATAGTTATCAAGAGTTTAATTTATCCTTCTGTTCTTTCAAAAGGGGCAGTCACAGCCCTGGCCGGTTTAGCCCAGTGGTTAGAGCAGTGGCCTGTGGACCAAGGAGTCCCGGGCTTGATTCCAGCCAAGGGCACGTATGTGGGTTGCGGTTAGTCCTTGGCCCCAGTTGGGGTTGTGAGGGTGGCAACTAATCGATGTGTCTCTCTCACATCGATGTTTCTCTCTCTCACTCCCATTCTGTCTGAAGATAAATGTAAAAAGGGGGGGGGGCATCACAGAGGATAAATAGAATCTGAACAGAAAATGGGTTTTTGGTAAGACTGAGTTTGAAAGCCCTGTGTTTTATAGAACTGGTTGCCCCTCTCTTCATTGCTTAGTTTGTTTTTCATTTCTCCTTTCTACTTCTTTTCCAGACAGGTCCCCATCTTCTTAAACATCAACCAAACCAAACAAAACCGTGCTGCTTGTTAATTACTTATGAAATACTTCCATCTACTGGCCAACTGGAGGAGGTTCATGCCTTAACATTTTTAGTTGTTAACATGTGTACCAGGATTTATCAAGACCACCCTCCAAACGTTTAGTCCAATAATCAGGAATTTCAAATCGGAAAATCAAAGAGGTTCATAAGCAATTCACTCAAGTAAAACCCTTATGTGTTTGATATTCATGAGGACACCCAAATGCAGTTTGCAAATATCCGAATGAACCATCATTCTGCATTCCCGCAGAAAGCACCTTGGCGAGGAAAGGAACGGGAGACTGCACAGGGAGAGGGGAGGCGCAGGTTCTCTGGCCGACCAGTTAGCAATTTCTAATCGGATCACAAAGGGAAAAGGCTCTGGATTCAGAGATGGAATCAGAGACTGTGCCAAGTTGAGCATATTCCTCTGAAGAAAGTAATTCCATGAGATCTGAAGGAAAATCCCAGTTAATTTAGCAAAAGGAACGCCCCTTTAAAAAGAAGCCACTCAGAATCGGTGCTACCTCTGTTTTGTACATTTTTTTTTTTTTTTCAAAATAATTCATCCGGGGAATGAGATCAGACACTGAAATATTCTAAACTGATTATAATCTGTTAGAGACATGCTCTGGGGTTATACAGTCAACGATCCGCAGTGTGTGCAAGCTGGTAGGAACCCCAAATACCAGTCCAGCCTCCTTATATTGCAGATGAGAAATTAAGATTGGGGGAGGGGGGCTCAGAAGCTCACCCAAAGGCTTATACTTCAGAAATAACCCAATACATTTTTTAAAAAGATAAAAGCAAAACTCTAGATTTCTATATGGACTTTAACTATGATTACATAGTTTGTAATATCAGCCTCTCCAGAAATGACAGTTTCTAAAAATAAAACCACCAAAATAGTATAGACAGTCTATTGGATTAAAGGCCCACCATAGCCCTGGCCGGTTTGGCTCAGCAGTTGGAACGTCGGCCTGCGGTACAGAGAGACCCAGGTTCGGTTCCCACTAAGGGCATGTGCCTTGGTTGCAGTTTGTCCCCGGCCCTGGTTGGTCGTGCGGGTGGCAGCCACTCGATGTGTCCCTTCACGTCGATGTTTCTCTCTCTCTCTCTTCCTCACTCTCCCTCCCGCTCTATCTGAACAAAAAATGGAAAAATGTCCTCGGGTGAGGATAAAAAAAAAATAAAAATAAAAATAAAAATAAAAATAAAAATAAAGGCCCACCATAGGGGAATGTTTTGCTATGGTTTATTCATTTAGAATAAACAAAGAGAAGAAAAAAGTACAGAGCCTTCTTTAAAGGGTGGATTTCAATAGATCATGGATCTAAATAGAATATGGATTAAATCATATCCTTTCAAAAGTAAGCTCCCTCTAAAAGTGGTTGATATACTATTCATCCCATTCCATGAAACGTGAGGAGTTAAACCCAAATGAAGCATTATGAGGGTAAAAGGTAAAGGACTCGGTGCCTAAAATAGCTTCATGTAAACACCTTGGGAAACCGAGCCAATCATCTTTTAGTAACACCCCCAAGGTGATGGACACAGTAAATCAATAAAAAGACGCTCACCCAGGAACAGCTTCCTGTGATGAGCTCTCGCTGTGTCACTGACCAGCTGCAGGACCCGGGGCCTCACATGTCCTCGTCAGAGTTTGAAGTTGTGGCTGTTCCTTGGGGGTAAGAAATAAGCGTCTGCTTCTAGAAACAAAAGAAGGTAGGGTTATACCATTAAGTATGAAGGATGGATATAGGCCCTTAAACGAGAACATTAGAGTGTGATTTATTCCTTTCAGAAGCATTAAACACACACAAACACGCACACACATTCATGAGTACTGCTATATACACTAAAGAAATGAAGTTCTTTCCTTTTTCAGGTGTGGCACAGTTCCTGAAGAAAGGAAATTTTTGTAATGAAACATATGTTCAATCTCATTATAAAGTATAATTTTCCCAGAATATTTGAGTGCCCAGAAGTAAACTACAGAGATGTGTACAAAGTGAAGCTGTTTTCCTAATGAAATCAATGCCAAGTAAAAAAATCCATTCGAAAGAAAGAAATCTTCAGTAACATAGTGTCGTTCATGTCTTAGATCTAGTTTTAACAGGGTAGCAATGAAAGACCACAACAGCAACCCAGGAGTACTGGCCAGCTGTGTAGGCTCAGCTGTGACACGTCTCATGCTCATCTCCCATGTGCAGATGTGCAGAACTTCCACGGGCTTCAGTCACACGGCCTGTCCCGCCCACCAGCACGCGCACTGGACCAGCCTCCTCGCACTCTGGGCCAATGTCTTTGACTGAATGCCGAACCATCCCTTTCCAACAGTCGTCCAATCACTTAGCTCCCTTCTCACATGGGAACACAAGGCCTCGAATGATCTGGTCCCCATCATACACAGCCAGCCTTCTCTTGGATCATTGCTTTCCACCAGTCACCCTCTTCGGAGTGCCAGTTCTCCACCTTTGCCCACGGTAGTCCCTCAGTCTAACAATATATGTCCCAGCCTCCCCAGCCTGCCAGGGGCCTGACCTAGGTAGCTTCTCGTGCTTCAGCCCTCAGCTTCAAACATGGCATAGCCTCTGGACTTCACTTAGATCAAGTTCCTCCTCCCACTACATCTCCCCCAAACACATTCTCCGGTTTCTAATTGTAAATGTCTCCCTTGGTTAACTGTATGACCTGTTGGGGGATGAACTACATTTGTTTTCTTGACCAATGTTCCTCCAGTACCTGGCACATAGTAGTTACACACACACACACACACACACACACACACCTGACAAAGATTCTGCTTATAGCAGGTAGCCAGCAGAGTAGATATTATTTTTGTTTCTTTAAAGTCTCAAATACAAGGAGAGTGCTTTCTTCATTATAGTGAAAGTTGTCTACCTCCCATGTTCTGAACATTGTATTGCTACGAAGTTGCTACAAATGGCGGCTTTTCCTGTCATTCATTTCTCCCATGACAAAATAACTTAGTAATTCTGAAAAAGTTATCAAATTGAACCTGTCAACAAAGATAATACTTTGAATGGCATTTAATCCAAATCAATTACCTTGTGCCCTACACACACACACACACATACACACCACTCACACGCACAAACACCTCAGACACATGGCAGTTGGGACTTCCGTCTTGAGAACAGTTTGTAGTGAGAGATGGAAAAACAGAGTAGAGGGTGTGGATAGCTTGGGTTAAGGTCCATGTAGATTCAGTATTTTGTGCACCTAACAGATACTTTTTTTAACTTTTAAAATAAAATAAAAATTATTTCTCAATTACAATTGACATAATATTATATTAATTTCAAGTTTACAAAAATAATGATTTAGACATTTATCTAATGATTACCAGGTGATCACCCAGATAAGTCTGGTAGCCATCCGACACCATACATAATTATGATAATGTTAACTAGCAAATCTTTTTAAGAATCTATAATGTATTCATTTAATCATAACTATGAAGTTCCTGTGATTTTTCCAGGCCTGTGCCAGGTGTGTGACTAGACACAGTGTTCTCAGTAATGAATGCAAAAGGTATGATCTCTAAGCGTATGACGCTTATGTGCTTGCGAGGGAAGATAGAAAACAAACCAGGTAGCAAGTAAATGACATAATTACAATCATATGTGCTATGATGTGCTGTGAAGGAAGGGGTCAAAATGCCATACCAGAGAATACTGGGGCATGTGGCAGGACCCTCCTTTCTGCAGGATGGTCAGGAGGGCGCGATGGGACGTTTCAATGGAGACCTGGAAGCAGCAGCTTCGAAAGGTGTGTTCTGGGCAGTGGAAAAGGTGTGTTGTAAAAGCCTGGGGAAAGAAAGCCTTCGCATGTCCTTGCACCAAGAGGAGGCAGTGTGGTTGTAGCTCAGAGGAGATGAAGCAGTGTGGGGTGCAGGTGAACAATGATCCCAGTTTGCCCAGGACTGAGGGGTTTGCCAGGGGGTTGGACTTCCAGTACCAAACTGGGACAGTCCCAGGCAAACTGGACAGGCTGGAATACCTCAGGTTCAAGATGAATTTGGAGAGACTGACTTGGAAACCACCCACACATTTTTTTGACTCATCCGCAGAAGCTAATTATATAACAATAACAGAATATTTGAAGAACGACTTACTTATTTGTTTAAATGGAATTAAATCGTGTTTGTTCTTATAGGTTTATTTCTGGGAAAATAAACACAGCATCTTGGAAAGAATTGGTAATACTATGACAATATTAAACAGCAAATGTTAGAAAAATTAGAAAATTTCTTTAATGATGATAGCTCAATCATTACTTAAGAGTAATCAGACTAAGAAAATGATATGAATGAACTTTGACTTGGAAACTAATCTTATCTTCCAAAGAGGTGTGTGTGTGTGTGTGTGTGTGTGTGTGTAATATAAACAAATAATTCCTTCCTTCCTTCTCCCTTCCCTTCCTTCCTTCATTCCTTCTTTTCTTCCTTCCTTCTTCCCCTTTTCCTCCTTTCTTTATAATTAATGCCATTCTAAAAGGAACTGAAATTGCTCTTTTTGTATTGAGTTCTAGCTTTTCAATACATGATCATACTACCTTATTAAATCCCCACAGTAATTCTATCAAGTAGGTGTTATCTTCAACACAAAGTAAGACTATAAAAATTCAAGTAAGTTGTTTGACATCACATAGTAACTTACTACCAGAACTGGGGCCAGAACCCAGGACGCCTAATTCGTAGACCAGAGTTGTTAATAACACTACCCTGTGCCAGTCCGCTAGCTTAATGACAGGATTTTGTGGAAATTATAGGTAAGCTTAAAGGAAGGAACTATAACTGTGGCGGCAGTTCTAGGAAAATTATCCATCTTCTAGAAATAGTCTGCCACACACAGCAGAGTCATAGTGAACTGCCAAGGACAACAAAATTTCTCCTGGGTCTCATCACCTCATGCCAGGTCACCTTCACAATAGCTGGGGAACTAGACCCTCTTTCAGGCTCTGACATTTTGGTTGCCACTGTGTACACTGAAGGGCATGGCATTTCCCACACCTTTGAAAACATCAGAGAAGATGGAGGAAATTGCTCTCATCCTACACTTTACCTCTGATGGACCAAAGGTTTTGCTGACAGGGGAAGAATAAAGACAAGAAAGGGGAAGGTCCCATAAAGAAGAGAGAAAAGGAACAGAGTCCCGGGCACAAATAGCAGCTGACCCATGTTCACACTTGGTAAAATTTCTTCCTATGATACCTGCACTCTATACCACACCTTTCTTATTGGAAGGATACACTAAAATCTTGAAGTTCTTCTCTCATCTGTCCCCCCAGGATGACTGAGAATGTGGCATTTGCTCAGATGAAGAACCAACTCACAGACATACCGATGGTTGAATGTCGTTTCACTCAAAGAGTTATTCTGAAGGGGTTTGACTACACAAACCAAATAGCCCGTTGACTATGGCCACAAAGGATGTGATTTCCTCAAGGTCACAGAGAAAGTGGAGAACAGAATCGGATCTCGAATTCACACCATCTGAAGACCGCGTTGTGCACCCCAGCTTGCTCCCTCTGTTCATTCACTTGCTTCCTGTGAGTCAGCATTTGGGTGGTTAGCCAACCCATGTTCTTAGAACCACTCATTGTATTGCACCCAGTGTTAAGACTCTGTAATACACTGAACTCTAATTCCTGGAATCATTACCATGTGATCATGACATCACAGAATTCTGACATTCAGTTTCCTGATGTTACCAACTGAAGATGGGGAAGAACTGGGGAGAAAGTCCTGCACAAGAGAGATCCAATTTGCGTTCATTCTCTCCTCCTTAGCGACCTTCTTAGGTGGACTACTCATCTTATTCATTTCCAGGATACTATGGAGGATCATAAAAAATTGGCAAAACATCAAGGGAACAGGAATTCTCTTGGTCAGTTTTCTTATTTGGGATCCCACTGTATGAAGATCAGAGACAGGTTTGACATGTGTTTGTGTTTAGAAAATGATTAAGGCTTCACTAAGCTTTCACAGGCTAACAGATCCAGCTCTGACCTGGTACCTTAGAAAGGGGCTGATCCTCTGGGGACTGAGAAACAGGCCCCAGGCTGCTATTCCAAAGGCCTCAGGTACAGGGCCAAGCCGCCTCTCACACCACTTGGAGAAGAAATGTCTTGTGCGAATGATGATGAATGTTAGCTCTGGAAACAGATTGCTTCCCTCCCACCCCAAAAAATCACCACAAACATTATGTTTATGCCTCTATTTTGAATTTCAAAATAACAATTGTGCTAGGTCCTATGAGGGAGGCAAAAAAGAACACCAATTCAATCTCCCTTTCATAAATTCAGCATTCATGATGCATATGCATTCACGTATGTATACTGCCTTTGATGTACCATGTTAACACAACACATCGAGTTGCACATACCTACACATGGACACTCATGCACACACACAGATGACATCCAGCCTCACATGCAGAGACGTTTTCATGTCAAGACAAGTTTTGAAAGGGTGGGTGCTATTGCATGACAACTGCTAAATGATGATGACACAAATAATGGTATATTACCCAGATAAGATGTTGCTTAAGAGCTTGAAATAAAATTCTTAAATTCTACATAATGGTAGTCTATTACCAGGGGCCCACGGCAAAGAGCTTTATTATGCCCTGTGTGGCTTATTTCTGATTTGTGTTTCCCAATCTTTGTTTCTCTGATTATAGTAATTTCCATAACAGAACAAATTTCATCTGTGCAAAATAATTAATATTGAAAGGCTGCTTAAAACATTTATCTTCGTGCTAAACATTGACACAAAATAACAGAATTTATAATGGCCTGGTAACTTTTTAAGATTACTGGCAATTTATAATATGGAATTCAGGTTTCTGCATTTGAGAAGTACCCAATATTGAAGTTCATAAATTTTGTTGTTAAATAAGTTCACTCTATTACTAAGTATTTCTACAACTTAAGCAGTGACATAAAAATTTGGGAAAGATTCTAGGGTACTGACTTCTTAACAATACTCACAGAGTACATGAATGGACAAGGTGAATCAGCCTTTTTTCCTATTTTCAATGCCTAATTCATGGCAGAATTATTTAATCTTCTTAGACTTCTGCTCTAGGAAATATATCTTCTTTCCCATTATGTTCATTGGCATGTGGTTTCAAATATGTGAGAACCCATTTGTCTATATATATTTACTGCATTTTAAAAATTTCTTTCTTTGAATGTAATTCCTTCAATCCAGAGGTACCTGTTAATTTCAGATAGGAAGCAAATGTTACACAATGTTAAGAAATGAGATCCAACCAACCAGAATACTATACTGTTCTGCTCTTGAATCTTGAGGATTTGAATGGAAGTTGAGTGACTTCTCAATAATTTGTTATATTAATGTAAATTGAGAGTGCTGTATTTTTTCTCTAAAGTTTTGAGAAAGTTAGCCTAATGTAAAAATGTCACAAATCTGGTACTGTCAAAAGTTCTTTTAAAAATTATTTGGAAAGTCACAATATTTCTCCTTAAATGTGCATTTTTAAAAGGTTTCCTACATTAGTAAGATTTTATTACATCTTGTTTTTCCACAGCTGGTACTTCTAATTTTTGAAATTCAAATGAGTCTTGTATATTAATGTCATATTGAATATTTTTAAAAAATCAATACTCAAGCATCTCAGGAATGCACATGGTGAATTATAGGGCAAATCATGGATCAAAATATGAACTCTATCCAATAGTCATTTACTGAGACTTTTCTTCCAACCACTCAGAAAATATGAGTAGAAAAATTAAGTCATTAAAAAAACCCTGGCACTACCTAAAATAAACTTTTCTACAAGTCAGAGGGTCTAGTCTGCATGGTGTGGTCGGTCCTAATTTGCTTGTGTCTTTCTCGGTGGTAGTTCAAGACCATCGACAGGCATGGAGACTATTTTAGACTCCAGTCTTTCCTGATAGGCAAGTTATTTAATTTCTCTATGCTTTGGTTCCCTTATCAATATAAAATGGATTTAATCACACTTTTTGTAAATCATAAGATTATTATAAATGTCAAATATAGTTAGGTAAAGGCATTGTGCAAATGTCAGGAAGGGTTTTAATTCAGCCAGATATGATACTAGATAAGGAAATAAGAGGAACATCAAATTCCTAAAACTTGCCTTCCTCTTTTTCTCTCAAAGCAGCAGATATTTAAGTATTTACCTGAAAAATCGATTTGTCCATGTATTTTTGTGTGTGTGTGTGTGTGGTACGTGCCCCTAGCGAGAACCAAATCCGGGACTCTCTGGTCCGGTCCACAGGTCAACGCTCAACCGCTGAGCCAAACTGACCAGGGCTGTCCATGTATTTTGATGGAAAAGGATAGGACCCTTGTTCCCAGGGCAGAAAGAAGCATGGTGCTCCCAGACCTGATCGTTCCAATAATGTCAGTTTGAAGGGTCAGGGTTTTCGAGTGTTTGAGAAAAGCAAGATGGAGACTGTAGAATCCAAGGTTAGAAAGCTGTGCCGAGACCTGTGAAACGCAAACTCAGTCAAATTCACCTCTTGAAATACTGAATAAGTGACTGCAGGGCTCTCTGGGTTGGGCTAGGTGGGGTCATTTCTGGCTGAAACCACAGCAGGAGAATCTATCAATTGGTTACTTTCTCTGAGGTCCAGTTCACACTCAATTTCTTTCTCTCGCTTACAGAACCTCATCTTGTCAAAGAGCACCGGTAAAAGAAACTTAAGAAGTCTCTACCTCCATGGAGTATTTCGTGATCGTATAGAAATGTTACTTTCGGCACAGACCTTTGTGGGGCAAGTGTTGGTGAGTACATTTTTATTGTTACCTTGCTAACAAACGTGAGCCACGAGCATGGTTATTGTCGGTATATATAATTTTATCATGCAGGTAAGCATCTAATGTTCCCTAATGGCCTTATCTAAAACATCACTGCCTCCCAACTACCATCCCCTACCTCCTCTCTTTAGCCACTGTTTTGCTTGTTTTTTCTTTGGAGTGAATATAATTACTTGGCAGTATATTTTACACTTATTGTCAGCCCATCCCAGAAGAAAAGCTTGATTAGGGCAATGGTTGTACACAGTTTGTTCTTGTACGGATATCTGGCACATAGCAGATGTTCAAGAAATTTTGATGTTTAGTGGATTATCTGGCCTGAAATGTACAGCTATTTTCCAGTCCTTTGACTCCAATGGCCTCTTTTCTTCTTTACATAAACTACTCATTTTTTGCACTTCCATTATATTTATCATTTTACTTTGTGTTTTTTATTTTTATTTTTTTATTTTATCCTCACCCGAGGACATTTTTTTTATTTTTTGTTCAGATAGAGTGGGAGGGGGGGAGAAAGAGAGAGAGAGAGAGAGAAACATCGAGGTGAAAGGGACACATAGAGTGGCTGCTACCCGCACGACCCAACCAGGGCCAGGGACAAACTGAAGCTGAGGTACGTGCCCCTAGCGGGAACCGAACCCAGGTCTCTCTGGTCCACAGGCTGACGCTCTAACCGCTGAGGAAAACCGGCCAGGGCTACTTTGTGTTTTAATCTGGAAAATTTGGACATATTAAAATTCAAACCAGACATCATCTCCTTGCAAAAATCTTATCTCCATATTAAGCTAAGAATGTGTCTCTAAGGCTCTATAATACGCATCAAGCACTGTTATTAAAATTATCTGTGCACACGCCTCTCTCCCCCGTTACCCGGTGAGCTACTTGAGAGAGAAGATTATGCCGAGAAATGTCTGTATCCTATTGTCTGGAAATACCAGATGCCCTATAAATGAATATTTTACTGATCATTATTCCAGTAGTATAGTTTGATCTGAAACATTAAAATTGGAATCTGTAATCTGAGGGTATACTGCCATCAGATGGTGGTATGATAGAGGAGACATATGTAAGCTAGAGTTTCTTCTGCTTTTTTATAATTGATGAAAACATTGTTACTTTTTAATTATTGTTGCTTAATTCAGATGTGATTAATTATTAAAACTTATTTGGAAGTACATACGTAAAATTGCTTTGATAAAATCTGCAAGGAATGTAGAATCATCTGGGAATGTCTCTCCTTTTTCTTCCTTCTAAAGTTTTGTGTGTGTTTTTTTTTCCCAAAATCTCTGTCAGAATGATCTGTTAGAGAAGAATTTTGTGATTTTTCTCTGATTATAAGAGGGCTCTCTTCAAATGTTCTAATCATGTTTGATTGTATGAGGATAATGTCGGGGTAAGGCAGAAGAGAATATATACACTCTAACAATTTCCTCTTTTTGTAAGAACCCCAGTCATATTGGATCAGAGTCCACCCTATGACCTTTGCTTAAATTGAATACACCAGCAAAGACCCTATTACACTTTAAATATACCAAAATTATTATTTTGAATTATATGAGTCAAGAATCATTAGAGAGAGATTTTTAAAATATTAGCTGTAAGGTCTTTGTTTTGGGTTCTTTTTTTCCCCCTGGGTTTATTTATTTATTGTTTTACCTATTTATTGCACTCTATTCAGTTAATGTTTTCTGTCTACTTTGTGTGTTTCACAGTTTGGATTTTTTGTGGCCAAATATATGTAAGTGATCCAAACAAGATCACTCTCTGAGGTACTAATATGCAGGGCTTCAACACATATTTTGGGGAGGATGCCATTCTACACATAACCATTGTAATGATAAATATAACAAACTTCAAACAAGATATGACATTACAAATAGCACTACAACAAAAATATAAGTTAAAGATAATGAATAAACGAGACATACAAGAAATGAAGAAGAAATATTAAAACACAAAGGTAGTAGAAAATTTTAGTTGTTATATCAGGATATATAAAACTGGGAGAAAAATCATCATCATCATCATAAAGACCACAGTAGCTTAATTAATAAGATTGAGCTGATTGAAATGGTCAAACTCCACATGCTGAAAACAGAATTAAACTTACAATATATATGGACAATTTCTAAAAATTCAGCATATATTTGGCTACAAAAAATCCCAACTATAAAACATACAAATTAGAGACAGACAACATTAACTGAACAGAGTGTAATAAATAGATAAGAACATAATAAATAAACCCAGGGAACAAAGAACCAAAAACAAAGACCTTACTGCTAATATTTTAAAAATCTCTCTCTTTAATGATTCTTGACTCAGATACCTCAAAATAATAATCTTGGTATATTTAAAGCATAAAAGTGAAAACACCACATATCACTTGCACCTATAGTATAAGATGAGAATGATTTCAGATTAAATGCATACCATTAAAAATTTATTCTGAAAAACAAAAATATTAAAATAAATGAATTAAGGATCCATCTCAAAAAGTTAGAGAAAACACATTACATCTAAGCAGAATAAATATAAGAAGTCAGAAATTAATGAGTTATAAAACAACTGATTATTTGAAAACAACAATAAAATAGAGAAACCAATAGTCTAAAGAGGGAAAAGGCACAAATACATATGAAATAAGATATTAAAATGAGAAAACAAGTACAGATATAAAGAAATGTAAAAGATATATTTAAAGTTAAATTTGAAAATTGGATGATTCCTTAGGACAATATAAATTACCAAACTGACCATAAAACAAAGAAACTTAGACCAAATATCTAGAAGAAATACAGATGTTGTCAAAGACCCACATTAACATCACCACCACCACCACCCCTTGTCCTTCTCCTATGGGAGACCTAGATGATTCCAAGGCCTGTTCTAACAAGTCTTCACTGAGTGGATTTCTCTAATGATAATTCAACAGTTCCAGGACATAGGAAATAAAAGAAAACACCCACTTTCCTTGTTAGTGAAGGTACAGTATCAACATCAAAACCCCTTAAAATGGCAAATTAAAAATCTCTACAGACTAATGTCCTTAATACTTTGAGGGGGATTCATGGCCAACCACCCCATGGAAGAAGAAGAAATGGTAGGGAGAGGAACGGGAAGGTGAAAAAGAGAGAAAAAGAAAAAGATGGAAAATAAGGAAGAGGAAGAAAAGGATACCATCTAGAGATTAAAACATAGCAAATTATCAATCACCTCTATGGTTTTTTGTTGTTGTTTTTTTTTCACCCGAGGACATTTTTGCATTTTTTGTTCAGATAGAGTGGGAGGGAGAGGGAGGGAGAGAGAGGAAGAGAGAGAGAGAGAGAAAATCAACGTGAAAGGGACACATCGAGTGGCTGCCACCCGCACGACCAACCAGGGCTGGGGACAAACTGCAACCAAGGTTCAGGCCCTGAGCGGGGACCGAACCCGGGTCTCTCTGGACCACAGGCCGATGCTCTAACCACTGAGCCAATCTGGCCAGGACTGGGTTTTTTTGTGTTTTGTTTTTCAAGTTATCACAAAGTTTGTTTTTACAACTACTTGTGGGATATTTTCTTTTTAATTTAGTTCTAAATATAGTCCTAGTCTAAAACAGTATGTTCCCTCTTTTGGAGGGGGTATTGTTAATTATGTAATTAACTATGTTTCTTTGATGGTTATACCATTTGGAACCAAAATCTTTAGTAAATATATCTATTTTTAGCCTCATTCTAGACATACATTATGTATACATTCTGTTTTTCTGTCTTCTCTGACTTCTATTTTTTAGGTAATCTAACATTATGCATCTTTGTATTCTGCCTTAGCTCCTTCCTGTAAAAGTGAACTATTTTCTGTGAATGTGTAATATTTTCTGTAAATAAGCCCTTAGCTAGAGCAACAGTTGTCAATCTTGGTATACAGAACAAATAACTGAGCAAAGAAAGCATTACAATTCATGTCAAAATGAGGAAGGGTGTTTCAAAAATGATACTGGGAAAATTGACTAAAAATTTATTTTGCTGGATTTTGCTCATTTTTGTAATGTAAAGCTATTTCTAGAAAAAGAAATTATAAAACACACTACAAATGATCAGTCTCTTCACACTTTACATCCATTATTTATGTTAAAAAATTAAATTAAAAAGTTTTTTCTACTACCTTGAAATATATCTTCCTATGTTTCTCCCCCCCCATTTCCTTTCTTATTTCATATTTTATATATAATATAACATCAAGCATCAGGAACTCATTTTGTTATATAGTATGAAACTATGCTTTAGTTTAGAGATCTTTATCACATGAATGAAGCAAAGACTGGTAGGAAGAACAATATTCACACTGACTATTTCTGGATGATTTCATTGTCTTTTTATGCACATGATAAAATATCAAAAAGTATCAAAGAGTACATAGTAAAAAACATGGTTTGTTTCTTACCCCTATTTCTATCCACGGCCACAGGTTTCTTCCTTCAACCCTGCAGATGCTTAGCATCACTATCAGGTATATTTTCTTTAGTTGGTTAGGTAACTTAATATAACTTTTTCCCCCACCCCCATAGTTATATCTAGAAAATTTAAATTATGAAGTGATACAATTTATTATTCCCTATGGCAGTTTTTAATAAAGATTAGTAAAGTGCATGGTTAGTGGAGCCAGCGGAGGTAAAATTAGATCTGAATTCAGGGTAGTCCACTCAGCTGGTGTCTTCAAAGTAAAATGCACCCCGGGAAGGAGGGGTGGGTGTCTCAACAGACTTCTGAAGGGTCAGCAGACACCATCACTTCTCCAACTTTCATTCTTAAACTGGATCTACCTGAGGACTCCTCATATCAGTACTCTTTTCCTATCATCCTTTCACAACCCATTTTACAAAAGAGAGGTACTATTATTACCTCTTTTGATAAATGAGAAATTTGACACATAGATAAAATGTAAAAGTTATAAAATGGAGATGAATAACAGAATTTATAGATAGTTTA